TCCCCACAGAAGCCGATGACGGCCGACGAGATGAAGCGATTGGGGAACCGTGTGGTCAGTCACGAGGCGATACTGAACGGCAAGATTTCGGGCACTTTTAGTATTGAAAAACGTCAGCAAAGGGTGTCTGTGGACGAGCTGTCGGACGTCCAGTTGTATCAGATGCTCGAGAAGTATGTGATGAATGAGTCGCAACTCGTAGAGTACGGGTACCCGAGACCCGACCCCCAGAAGCGAGGGTCGGCGCTGCTGCCGAAGCCGAGAGCCAATTATATTAAGAATAATTACGACACTCGAGTCCGGACCTGTTGCCGGTGTCAGAAGACGTATAACGTGGATGACATGGATATGCCGACCCGTAAGGAGGACTGTATATACCATTCCGGCCGCATATGGACCGAGCGGTACAATAAGAGTGTGGAGCGGAAGTACTCGTGCTGTAAGAACGACATCAGTTCCGGCGGCTGTTCCTCCAATGGTTACCATATTGCCGATGGCTGTGATAGACCTGATTATTGTGATAAATACGTGCGAACACTGCCTATAAAGCCGGCGCCGCAGTCGGGCTATTACGGCATCTTTGGGCTCGACTGCGAAATGGTATTAAAATCTGTTTAACTGTGCGGTAGTATTGTTGACATTATTAACGGTTTTAATGATACCCCGATCAGTGTTACACAACCCATGGCCTGGAGTTGACTCGAGTGACTGTTGTGAACGTAAAGCAAGTGACGGTTTACGAGACATTCGTGAAGCCATTGAATCCAATACTCGATTACAACAGTAAGTTCTCCGGCATTAAGGAATCAGATCTGCGAAGAGTGACCACAACGTTGTCGGACGTACAGCTGAAGCTGCAGACACTGTTCAACGATAAGACAATACTGATCGGACACAGTCTCGAGAGTGACTTAAAGGCGTTGAAGTTGATCCACAACACAGTCGTCGATACCGCGCAAGTGTTCCCCCATAAGAGAGGTCTGCCCTTCAAGAGGGCGTTGAGGACATTGACCGCGGAGTTCCTGAAGAAGATAATCCAAGACGACGGTAAGCGTTGAATGGATTGTGTGGTTAAGGGTTGTGATTGTAATACGAGTTGTGGTTTGCGTTTGCAGTGGACGGACACGACAGCAAAGAGGACGCGACCGCTGCCCTGAAACTCATGCTCTGGAGAGTACAGGAAGACCTCAAGAAGTTTAAGCGATGAT